AGGGAGCCCGACGCGGGGCTCGATCCCAGGACTCTGGGATCATGACCTGAGCCGAAGGCAGAGGCTTAATGACTGAGCCACCTAGGTGCCCCTATGTTTAAATTTTTGAGAAACTGCCCAAGTGTTTTCTAAAGTGTCTGCACCATATTACATCCCCTCAGCAATGTATGAGGGTTCCAATTTCTCCATACCCTCACCAACACTTGTTATTATTTGTCTTTTTGATTACAGCCATCCTAGTGGGTGTGAAGTGGTACCTCATTGTGGGTTTGATTTGCATTTCTTTGATGACTAATGATGTTGAGCATCATTCCATGTGCTTATTGGTCAATTTTTATATCTTCTTTGAAGAACTGTCTATTCAAAAAATTTTTTTCAGTCATCTAATTTTTTTTTTTAATGGCTTAGTAGAGTACTTTATTCTGGATATGACTTTCTTATCAGATATACTATTTGCAAATATTTTCTTCCACCTTTGGGTTGTCTCTACACTTCTTTTGATGGTATCCTTTGAAGTACAAAAGTTTTAAAATTTGATGAGTTTCAATTATTTTTTCTTTTGTTGCATGTGCTTTTGATTTCATATCTAAGAAACCATTATCTAATCCAAAACCACAAAGATTTACTCTTATGTTTTTGTCTAAGAGTTTTACAGTGTTAGCTCTTACATTTAGGTCTTTGATCCATTTTGAGTTAATTTTTGTATATGGTGTGAGGTAGGCAACCAACTTGATTCATTTGCATGTGGATAGCCAGCTGTCCTAGCACTGTTTATTGAAAAGATTACTCTTTCCCCATTGAGTGGTCTTGGCACTATAAAAATGGTGAAAATTGAGTGACCATAAATGTAAAGGTTTATTTCTGGACTCCCACTTCCATTCCATTGATCTATATGTTTATCCTTAGGCTAGTACCACACTCTCTTGATTACTGTAGGTTTGTGTTAAGTTTTGAAATTGGGAAAGTGTGAGTCCTCCAATTTCGTTCATCTTTTTCAGGATTGTTTTCACTGTTCTGGATTCTTCACATTTCCACATGAGTTTTAAGATCACCTTGTCAGTGTGATCTGCAAAAATATTGCCTGGGATTTTGGTAAGGATTCTGTTGAATCTATAGACTGCTTTAGGGAATACTGCCAACTTAACAATATTGTCTCTCAATCCATAAACATGGGATGTCTTTCCATTTCTTTAGATCTTCTTTAATTTCTTCCCAAGATTTTTTTAGTTTTCATTGTATAGGTCTTGCACTTCTTTTGTTAAATTTATTCCTAAGATACTATTCTTTCTGATTCTATAGTAAATGGAATTGCTCTTAATTTAATTTTTGGATTGCTCATTGCTAGTGTTTAGAACTACAATAGATTCTTGTACATGTATTATTTTATATCCATTTTTTTCTGTTAAAATATTGTGAACATCTTTCTATGTCAGAAAATATAGTTCTATAACATTATTTTGGTGACCCTGTAATATTTCACTTTAATATTTTATTTAATAAAAATATTTAATAGAAATCCACTGTAATATTTTATCTAACCAGCTCTTTACTATTAGACATTTAGGTTATTTTAAATTAAAAAACAAACTAAAATAACTCTGATACATACTTGCCACTAAATTTTTGCAAACTTTCTTAATTATTTCCTGGATATAAATGTCCACAAGTGGAGTTGTTAGGGCAAAATATATGCACATTGAAGTCATTTGCTAAGTGCTGCAAACATTGCCCCCCTGAAAAGTTATACGTTTTGTTTTTGTTTTTGTTTTCAACCAAGGCTGTGATATTTGATTCCCTTAATTCTGTTTTATTTATTTATTTATTTTTAAAAAGGCTTTCCTAGTTTGGTAGGTGAAAGATGAGTCTCATTGGTGCTTTGCTTGCATTTCAATTCCTAGGAAGGTCAAAAAAATTTTCATATGTTTATTCCCCCTGCTAACTATCTTAGGTTTCCTAGCCTTGAGTATTCCACTGTTTATAGTTTTGTGAAAGCAATTTGTATATTAAAGTTATAAATCCTATGTCCTTTCTGGTAAACATTCTCTCCTCATGTGTTTGCCATTTTTGTTTAGTTATGGTGCTTTTGGATATACAAAACTTTCAGTTTCTCTGTCAACTTATCAGTCCTTGTGGTTTCTCCTTTTGGTGTTATACTCACAAATTCCTTTCCCCCTCTTTTTATTTTTGAAGAACAAACAAGATTAAGCCTTCTTCCTAGCACATATCCCAGTATTTAATAAATATGCTGGTCACTTCTCACTCCTTTCAACTGTACCGTCTTTTATGGCTATCTCAATCTTTGCTCAAGCAATGTTCTCACACCCTCCCTCTTTTCCCCTTCTCCTTCCTCGACAGCTCCAACCCTACTTCTCAGAGGCACTCCGGTCAGTCCTGGCCGGGGCAGCAGGGACACTCTCCCTGAATTGCTTAGAGCCCCTTAAGAGGGCTCGGTTTTGGGGAGACATCCTGCAAAGAAGACCAAATCTCGGCCCCGGGATGGGTGTGTCCTCTGCTCAGACGCCAGCGCGACAGCTCCAGTAATTCGCTCAACATCTCTCAGTTTATCTGTAAAATTTAGCAGATCGGGCATCTAAAGACATTCCTCCAAGGTGTTTTCGCAGCTTGGCAAACTACAACCTGCGCTAGCGGTTGTCTTTTAAATGTGCACGTTCCGCCACTCCCCATTCCCCGTGAGCTCCTTCGACCCCAGACTCCGAATGTGGTTGTAGTGCCGCAGATATTATTGGCGCACACAGTTGGAGAAATTGACGCGACCTGTCTTTTGACAATTGAGACGTCCGGGAAACCACAATGCCTTTGATGTAAGCTCTGCAGGCAGTGCCAATGTGCTCTGACGTCTCTCTCACCCAAGCCTTCCCCCTTGTCCGACGTCCAGAGCTGGCTTTCATGACTGGTCTGAGACCGTGAGTCGCTGGAGAGGAGAACTCTGATTTTGAGCGGGGCGTGGGAAGGTGGGGCGGTCGCGGCCCCCGCCTCAGCCGCCCGGGTGAGAGCCCGGGAACGCCTTTCGCTCTCCCCGCCCGCGAAGTTTGCAGGGCGCAGCGCGCTGCAGAGAGCTGGCCTGCCGGCCCGAGGCTGCGCGCTGTCAGTTCCTGCTCCAGCCGCGGCAGGTTCCACACCAGAGGAGCCGCCCGCACGCCGCGGGCTCCCGGCGCGTGGGGCGGGGGCGCGCATCGGCCGCCGCCCACGCCCGGGGGCTGAGCTCACCCCTCCCGGGAGGATCGTGCGCTGCAGGATGGCGGCGGCCGCGCGGGCTCCAGGCTGCGCATCCAGGCTAGTCCTGCTGCTCCTGCTGCTGCTGCCGCCGCCCGCTGTGAGCCCCGCTCGGGAGCCCCGTGCCGCGGCCCGGCTCAGCCTGCACCCGCCCTACTTCAACCTGGCCGAGGCGGCGAGGATTTGGGCCACCGCCACCTGCGGAGAGCGGGAACCGGGCGGCGCGCGGCCCCGGCCCGAGCTCTACTGCAAGTTGGTGGGGGGCCCCACCGCCCCGGGCAGCGGCCACACCATTCAGGTACGGTCCTGGGAGCGAGCGAAGGGGGCGGGGGGCGAGGGACGGGCCCCCTCCCCGCGCTGGCCAGCGACCCGGAGCAGAAGGAGGGGGCCCTTTCCCCGCGAGCGCTAGGGATCCCAGGCGACCGGGAAGGGCTCCCCCAGGCCCCGCGCGGACCGGCGACCCTGGGAGGTGGGCTCGGTGCCCCGGAGCGATCCTGCGGGAGCTCCTCTCTTGCCAGTTCGCCACCCGAGGCCGGGACCAGTAGAGTGCGCGAGCTAAGTGAAGGCTGAGGTTAAGTTTGCGGGCGCAGCAGAGAAAGTCCCGAGGTGCGCTCCGGGGTGCATGAAACCGTCTCCCCATCCTGCCTCCGTCACTCAGGTAGCGCCCGGCCAGGCCATGAGTGCCCCTCCCCCACCCACCCCCAGCTTCACTGGCGCGCGTCGTTCCAGGCCCTTCTGTCTCCCCGACCTTATTCGGAGAAGTTGGTAGCAGTGGGTTTCCGTGGCGTGTTGGGAGAGAACTTTTAGGTTATATCTGCAGCATCACTCCGATGGTGCCCCTCACGGCAGTGCCCGAAGCGCCACCGCTCAGGGTCACTGCGGCGAATGAGACTTGAAATGGGCAGAGATGGACACGGCGCTCAGGGGCCATCAGACTCATCCCGCGAACACCTGGTGTAAATGATAGTGTTGCTGGTGCTTAATCAGCATCTGGAGGTGTGCCAGGTCTTTACACAGGGCCCCTCACAACAGCGCTGGGAACCGGAGCGGGTGAGCAGGTTAGGAAACGTGCCAGAGTCTTAACGTAAGGCAGCGGGATTTGAACCCAGTCCTGACTGGAAATCCTCTTTACACTGAGCCGTGATTCATAATTGCCTCCCTTGTTCTACTGGGAACTATTGCTGAGGAATGGGAAAGTGCTGCCGGAAGAGGGAGTAATTTTGGAGCTTGGGCTCCAAAAGCAAAAGATTGTCATTGAGAATCTAGGTCATGGTTTAGAAACTCTTGGTTGCGCACTTCATAAACGACAAATTGTTGAACATGCAGTGCCAGTAAGTGCTTATTTACTTGTAAATTATATGCATGTATTGCTTTATTAATATATTTTGTGTACTAGAAGACAGGCAAGAATAGAAATAAAAAGATAAAATAACAATGATGAAAATACTTTTAAATTTTCTTTATTAACAGCGCCAAATAATTTTGCTTTCTCTAAATATTTAATTTCTGATTGTAACTATTTATAAATATACAAATGTAATTATGTATATCATTATTTTTGACAAGTTTAGCTTAGCACTTACGATCTGGTAATTCAAGGTTGGTTTTATATTAATAGTCGAAATTAGTAGTTGTCATAGCTGAAAAGATACCTCAAAAATCTGTAGATTCAAGGAGAAGGACCACTGCATTGACCAGTGAGCTCCAGAACCAGCTACATAATTCACAGAGCCCAGTGCAAAATGAAAATCTGAGCCCCTTGTTCAAAGATTATGAATTTCAAGATGGTGATAGCAGAGCATCAAATTAAGTGAGGGGCCTTTCAGAGCATGGGGTTCTGTGTAACTGCACAGGTCTGATACTGTCTGAATTCACTAAATCATGGTACTCATATTTCTGCCCCATCCTTCAATCATTCTAAAAAAATTTTAAAGTAGACACTTGACCAGTCAATGTTTGCTTTTCAGGTGGCATTTAGTACTTCCTGGTGGGAAGGTATTATGTTTTAATGGTTTAAAAAAATAGATTCAAAACTCACTGCAAGTAGTTTTCTGGAAAATACTAAAATACATTACAAAATTATGTGTCCAGGTTTTTAAACTGTGCAAATAGGAGAACTTTTAGAGTAACCCAGTTCCGTCTTTTCAGCAACAAAAAAATGAAACATTTCCAAACATCTATTTTCCAAAACACTCTTTTCAAAAGCATACATTTCTTTAGAATAGTATTTGCTTTTTCACACATTGTTGAAACAACACCTTTACTTTGGTAGGTACCTCTATTTTTTGGTAAATATTTATCAGGTGGTGTATTACTGGCAGCTACTTGTCAGCCCAGAAAAAGCAAATTTGGAATTTTTTGTGAAAAAAAATTGTGACTCATCTTTAAATTTCAAAGTCTTTTAAGTACTTTACCATGAGATAAGCAGTAGATCTGTGTCATCAAAAGAATTTCTTTGTCACTCCTCATTTTAGTACAAGATTGGAACTGTTCTGCTGTCTAGGGGAATAGAATCCCCACGTCCACTTAACCAGGCCCACGTAAGCTTCGCTGTGTCGTGGTCAGATGAGAGCCTGATGGAACCCCTCCTCCTCTTCCCTTGGGCAGACAGACACTCAGGACCATTGTGACCAGCTGACTTGTGGACAGGGTAAAGGCCCTAAGCAGTCTGCACATTAAATACTAGTCAAACTGAATTTCTTCATTTTTAAGTAAAATATACACGTTTTGATAGTCCCTTCTGGCCACTGCATTGGATTACCTGGCACATCCAACTTTGGAGAGAGCTGTTCTGACTATGGGAAGAGTAAATGCAAGGGGAGGAAATTTTCAACTGTCTCCTCTCCCCTAGATTTGCCTAGGAATGGGCCAACCTTCATTCTCTGCAACTTCCATTTTCTTTTGAGTGCTCATAGGTTGGTACTACCGTCTTGGAGGTGCAGAAAAGTCATATTTTCTGTTCTGATTGAGTTTCCAGGATAGGTCCTCAAACCTTGGTTCACAGTCCTAGATAGAGTAGGAAGTGGCTTTTCTGAGGTCGTTCAGCAGACTGTATTTCTAGGCCAAGCTATAGCCTGTGGAAAAAGGATGCCATCTGGTGTTATACCTTATTCTTCCCTAAAAATAAAGGGTGAACAAGAGCTCTGCTGAATAGTGCTTTCTGCTTTCACAGCTGAGGGCTTGAAAAGATGTACTGATTGCTGATGTGAGAGGCTCTTACCTCATGAGGACAGAAGTGTGTTGGAGAAGAGATGGGGAAAGGGAGTTCTAGAAGCTGGGCTATTAGATGCTCACTCTAGCCCAGTGTTGGCAGCCGCTGGTGCAGACCCACCTTTCAGGAAACTGAGGGGTGATAGGAGAAGGGTGGGAGGTTATGACTGATCAGTTGGTTGTACCCGAATGATGATTATCTTGAATCTGTTTATGCTCAAGTTCGGAAATGGAGAAGAGTTAACTAAAACAGTTCTGTTTCTTTGAGCTTTCTAAAAATAAATCTTTAGGGCTAGCCAGGATTCAGAATTTCAGGCCGGAAGGATTTTGCAAAAAGATGTAAAAAAATGAGTAAAAATCGCATCTTAGAATAAAGCCTGGGTTTATGGTCCTGACTCTATAATAATAATGCTGATTCTTGAATGGTAGCATGTGTCAATAGGTAGGGCATTTTAAAAGTCTGAATTTTGTTTATTGTGTGAAAAATGTTCACTGTGGTTTCTCTGGATTTCAAATTCATTAAATAAGATTTTATATACTTGTTACTGCTCAGACATTAAGTTTTTGGTGTTTGAGAGTTCTTTGATTCAGGGATTTTGTCTGTCTGGTTCATAGCTGTATCCTATGCTTAGCACAAAGCCTGGAACAGTATATGTGCTTAGAAAATACTGAAGGAAAAGATAGTGTAATGAAGACACAGCTAAGGACTGTAAAGAAGTTAATGTAAAGAATAGATAAGAAAAATGCATAAATTAATTCTATTCTGCTAAGAAGTTAAGTATGACTGAAATCTATCACACTTTATGCTTCAATTTTAAATGTTTCCTTATCTATGGAATCATAGGTATGATTATTATTTACTGACATCTGATAAAGATGATGGTAAAATGTAAGTGGAAGGCGGTATTGAAAATATAACCTTGTGTTTGGTTTAGCTTGGCATAAACACTACACTCAAAAGGAGTGGCGTGAACATATTTACCAAACATACGATATCGATTTTGTTCAACACATCTTCCGTTACGTTCCTTCGTTGCATTATAATTTATGCACAGGAATGTGTATCTAGTCTGAATGAAAATGGTAGAGAAGTGCACACATGTGAATTACAGCCAAGAGCAAGAATGCTTGCCACAAAGTGGTCTAGGTTGTGTGTTTGTGTAACTTGGACTAATGGCCATAAACAGGAAACTCAATTTCACTAAGGCTGTTTATAGAACCATTGTGAAAGAGAAACCATTTGTTAGCTTCAACAAGGGCCTTTTCTTTTGTGAAACTGATAGGAAAGTCTTGAGCAAAGGCTGAGAAATCAAAGACATTTACTATTCCGTTGATATATTTGTAACAATTCTTCACGATAAGAGTTATTTTGAGACTTCAGACAAATGACTACAGTCAGCAATTTAAAGATGAATGATCCTTTTTAAAAATGATTTTCCCCATAGTTCCGTGTGAACATTAGCTGAAGTTTAGCAATGAAAGTTTATGTGCAAATCATTCAAAGACTAACATAAATGTTTTCCTTTGGAGAGCCATGTTCCCTCACCAGCAAAGGAACATGGTTCCACACACCAGAATGTCAGCAATTTAAATTTTTGCTTCAACAAATCACAGATTACTGGAGCTCATGGATCTTCAGGGTTGTGGAAGGTGAATAGTTGGAAATGGGGATGTTCAGTCCTTGAATTGCAGGATTTTACTTCATGCTCTGAATTACCTGTGCCATTGAGAACATGGATCATTTAATCTGAGAAAAAGAAGTAAATAGTATAAGGAAAGAGAAAGACAAAAGGTTATTAATTTCAGCCCCTCACTTATGAGAAAACTATACTTATTTAACCCATTACAGAAAGTTAGCTGTGTTCATTTTACCTCTTTAATGCATATATGAATGTGAAAACTACACATTTTCTTCATTTTTTACCAAAACTAGTTTGAAGTATGTGAGTCATTTTTAACAGTTTTATTGAGGCATAATTTAGATACTATAACATGCATCCATTGTAGGTGTGACTTAAATATTTTAAAATAAATTTATAGAGTTGTGCAACTATCACTAGAACCCAGTTTTAGAACATTTCCATCAGC